GACGAAAGCATGAAATGTCGAGTAAATCGTGGACGGCCGGAGGTAGTCCGAGGGCGAAAAGAAACCTGCAAAGGAAAATGACGCGCCAATGTAAAAATACGCCAAAGGATAAATGCAATCCTCGGAGAAGCTCGAGCCCTTTTCGATCTTGAAGCTGCCTGTACAGAGTTTGAGAACTGATATTAAACAAGGCGCTATTGATCGACGCGTGCTGCGCCGGGTTGTCCGTGCTTGCACCGCCATGTTTAAAATTTTCCCACCTTTAAACCGACTTTGCCGGCGTTCCCTAATAGATAAACTGGCATTCAATTTTATTCGGGAAATATTATTTGGCTGCCCATCACCTATCACCGTCGAATCTTATCCGCGCGCACTTACCTCTCGTACTTACACGCGCGCTATTCCTTTGCCTGTAAAAAAAATTTTCAGAGAAACTGCCGCTTCATTAGCTTCCATCTTCTTCTTACTTTCTCCATCCCTTACGTCCTTACATCTTTTACTCGCTCTCTTTACTCGACTTATTTACTTCCATTATCCGCACATTGCCGAAGCTTGCAATTATTTGAGATAAGGCGCATAAGGGTGGAAGGAAAAGAAGGCTTATGCGAGCGAAATGAGCGTTCGTACTTAATTGACAAATTTTATGCTGCGAAGAGACGCGCAGATATACCGAATTACATTAGATACGTGGAACTCGGGTCGCATTGAATTTCGAAACTGCGTTCAAACGTCAGCATAAATTAAGTTCAGATAGTTATATATAAAGATTGCAAAAAGTTTAATTGCTGCCACGTAATATCTGCTGGCCGATTTACTCAATGGGAATCCTCGAGATTAATGACGAAATAATCTTAAGTTACATATGGAGCATTTGCAACGACTGTATTAAAAGCTCTATGAATTATTATTATGGCGGACAGTAAATAAATATTGATTACGTCCGAAATAAGACTATGCGCCATACTTACGGTCATTCGTCTCCTAATTATCAACATGTTCTCGTATTTAAGTGTGGGATGTCGTAATGGCCGTGAGTACTCGATCGATAGTATCGAAAGAATAAGCGTACCGAGCGATCTCCAGCGCGGCTCTTTGCTCCATAAAATTAAACTCGATGCAAAAATTCCTCATTACTCGTGAAATGGGTAAAAGTACTGCAGCTGACTGCACCGAAATTGAATAAGCAGTGAGCAATTTCTTCGACATGCGATGTTGCTGCAGTGCATCATCATCGCTTTGCCTTGGAAAATAATTTATCGCTTAATTAATTCGCTGGCTAAATGGAAATAGAATTCGTCGATTACGTCGCACGACGTGATATAAGCGCGCGAGCAAGCGAGCAAACCCGTAACGGAGACAGACAGTCGGTTAGACAGAGTGAGAGAGAGAGAGAGAGAGAGAGAGAGAGAGAGAGTCTGGTGCGGTCCGATGCGCGCTGCCACCGAGCATTACGGGCGTCGTCGACCTCGCCTCCCGTAATTCCTTGCTGCTTGATTAATGATATTTTAATTACCGACCGATAGCATCAAGAATAATAACCTATCAACTCCTCGAGCTCATTATCGTAGTCGGCATTAACAATGGCACATTCGAGTGCCCAAAGTTTCGCGCAAAAAGTATTTGATACTTTGAGTGTTGAGATTTTTATCGACAATTGAATTTCAGCATTGCCGTGGATGGTCCAGGCGTTTATATTTTAATCTGCGTTGTTACGTTGATAGAAACTTAACGCCCCCGATGGGTGCATTATTTTGTCGAAACTACTTAAATAATATTGTGCTTGGGCATGTATATTTATCATGTATTACTGGGAGCCCTCGCACGCTCAAGTTAACTACTACTTTCCAGAGATTCCTTCGTCACTATCTAATCAACGCCTTGCCAGATAAGCCAACGAGTCTCCGAACTAGTATCTCTCGACCAATAAGGCTCTTTACTGGATATGAGAAAACGGGGGGGGGGGCGGCAAAAAAAGAGGAGAAAAAAAAGAGAGAAATAAGAGAAAAAAAGAAAAGAAAGAAATCGCTTATCGTGGCGGTTTTCAAAACTATCATCAAGTTTTACAAACAACTGTAGTTTTTTCCCTTTCTTTTGTTCTCTCTCTCTCTCTCTCCCCCTCTGTCACTCCCCCCCTTCCTTTTGTCGTCAAATTTTCATTTTAATAACCGCACTCGCGCAGTCTACCTGTGAGTCACGTTTTGTCGATGCTCAGAGTATTTAGCTTACATTGGAAAAAGACTTTCCAACTCTCGCACACGTGCTCCGCCATATTTAGAATTTCTTGTACCTAATCTTCCAACAAGTCGCTCGCTTGGATTCTTTTGCCGCGCTCTTTTGTTGCTGACAATATTGCCAAACACGATCGTCGAATCGTTGGCCCGCGTATAATGAGAAAACCGACAGGTACACCAAAGCATGCAGTCCAATAGCACAAGCTACGATAAAATTTCTCGAGCTTGGCACTCAATGCCATTTACATCATTAAAATAATGTCAAAAGCCGACATAAGGACACTTTACAGCGGAATAATTAATCGTCATATTCGCGACACCGACTATTTAACCATTGTCAACTTCATCGCGTATCTCGAATCTCAAAATCGGAGCCCGACTCTTAATGTGTACCCTCGTTTATCCCCCCCCCCCTCCCTGCTACGAGGAACTCCTTCCTCACGGAGTCTTTTGTCATCAGCCGGGCGTCAGTAGTTACAGATACGCAGCGTCTCGGCATTTAACATTCACGACGGCAGGGGAATTCCGAGAGAGACTTTCTCTCGCCAGCTCCCTTCCGCCCAGGCTTTGCTCTTTTTCTCCCTTCGCTTCATCCACTCAACCTCCATCGCTCCCTCGCCTTTTCCTCGTAACATACATCCCCCCTTCAAACGCCCCTCACCCCTCACTCCACACCGCTCTCCCCTCGTCCCTCGACAACCAGTCAGATCGCGCGCGCGCTCTTTTCGCGTTCATGACATGCGTCCGCGCGTGCGATCGTAAGTGACTGGCTTTTATGCATGGACGGGCTCATGTCCAATTAATCCATAAGCTCGGATTAGCGCTCGTCGCGCGCTCTCGCTCTTGCCGAGGCAAAAAAGTGGAAAGGCACGTCGGTAATCCAGGCGCACAACTGGAAATTTCAAGTGACACTTTACGAGCGAGGCGATTATGTCGGCCTCGCGCTCAGCAACTTGTTGCGGATTTGCGCGCGCGCGCGCGCTTATCTCCTCCACAAGCGATCGCGCTTTACCCACGGGGCACCTTATCCCGGCGTCGAACGCCGTTCCGTCGTGATAATGCGCTTCCTTGCGGGCCACAGCTACTTTATAATGGCTTATCGATCGCAAATCAATGGCAGCGACGAGGCTGCAACGATGAATTATAGCCACGAGAAATTGGAGTCGGCGATGTGCCGATTGAGCGATGACGGGGACAAGCTTGGCGGCGGTGGCGTTGGCGGCGGCTGTGAAGAGCGGCCCGAGAGCACAAAGAATACACGGCGAAAGCAAAGTTTCGCCGACGTCGTCGTAGCCCGCGTATCGCCATGGCTACCCGAGCTTGACGGCAGGCGGCAGTCGGGGCCAAGGGAGAGAACCAGAGAGAGTGAGAGGAGCTCCCGAGGCAGCGACGGCGAAGGCGACGGCATCGGCGGGGACAGGAGCGAGTTTCGCTAAGAGGGGAGGGGGAATGCATGTCGCCGTATATGCGCTCGTAGACCGTCAAATGAGATATTGTTCGTGGCGGGAATTTTTCCCGATCGCAGGGGTGCCGTCGAGGAAGGAAACTCGGGAAATTCAGGACGTCTGGAGGGGTCGAGGGCGGCTGCCGGGACGGCAGCGTGCGGGCGAAGCACCGGGGCTGGGGGGTCGTGGCACCGCTGCAGACTAGGTGGGCGCGCGAGCACGAAAACGCTAAGGCGCGGGGGTGAAAAGGAGGCGAGGACGGCGGAGAGGTACGAACATAGCCGAGCGCGGTTGTGCGATGCCGGAGGGAGGTCGGAGGAGGTATGCCGCGTAGCGAAAACAGACGTAGAGAGAAGTAGAGAGGGAGAGTAGGGAGATATAAACACAGCGAGGTGGGGAGCTGTGAGGGATATGGGGCCGGGGGGAGGGGGAGGAAGAGTTAGCAAAAGAGCGAGAGAGCGAGCAAGGTGGCGTCGGGGCAAGCAATGGTGTGGTAGGGGACTCGGATTCGCGGTCGTGGCGCATCGGAGCTCGTTTCGACAACGATGATGACGACGACGACGACGACGACGACGCGGACGACGACGACGGCGAAGACAGCGCCGGTGTCGCGTATAACTGAGCCGACGCTCTGCCAATTGCGGATCCAATCGCGATCGCTGGAAGAGAAGAGACGAGCGAGCGTGAAAGATTAAAGAAGGAAAAGGAGGTAAAAAAAGTGGAAGGAGAGCCGACCTGCATCACGGGCCATCGATCGGCCGTTAAGCGAATTTCGAGATAAGAAGAATGGCAGATAAGAAAGAGAGGGAAAGCGAGATAAAAATAGGCTGGAGATCCTGACTTCGAGCGCGGCGAGGAAAGTGGCGTGCGGCAGAGGGCGCCGGAGGGCGCGCGGGAGGGAGAAACGCATGGTTGATGGGTGAGGGGTAGGCCGTCGGGTAGGAGGTAGAGCGTCTGGGTGGGCGGGAGGGAGGACCGTGAGACAGAAGGGGGGGTCGGCGTGGAGGCGGCCGGCGATCACCGCATACGGTTTCGGGCGCACTTACACGAGAGCGCGCCGCTACTCGCAAGCCGGCAGCACACCGATACGTCGAAGCCCTGACGTGCGCGCGCGCGCCCGCGCGCGCGCGACTCCTCGGGCAGCTTCACGTCGCGTGCGCTCACGAGGCAGTCGCGACGACGCCGTGGAGCGCGAGCACACGAACGACACCGGTGGAGGGACTCAACGCCTGCAGTTGCCATTTGCTCGAGCCCGGCACCCGGGGTGTGGCGCACCCGGGTTATGGCCCACGTGGCGAGTGTGGTGCTACTGCTGCTGTGCTGTCCGGTAACGTCGACCTTAACGCGACAGATCGCCGTTGTTAAAGCGGAGCCACGACAAGGCGAAAGCTGCCATCGCCTCGAGGACATGTGAGCCCACTCGTCGTCCTTCCTACAGACTTGGAGCACGCTCGCGCGAGAGTGTATGTGTATGTGTATATAGATGTTTGCGTGCATGTGTGCGCGTGAGAGAGAGAGAGAGAGAGAGAGAGAGAGAGAGAGAGAGAGAGAGAGGGAGAGAGAGAGAGAGAGAGAGAGAGAGAGCACAAAGATTTTTTGCACCCATTGTTCGTCGGTCCGATTCGTCGTGCGTTTTTCTCGATTTTTTAGAAGCGAGACGCGGTTGCACAACCTACAGTGATCTTACGTTCTACCTTTTTCGCTTCTTTGCGCCGCGATTCGCATCCACGACTATATATAAGATCTCTAAATTGGTGTGCAAGGGAACAATAAATGCACAAAGCGCTAACGTTCGCGTACTCATTAAGTCGGGGCCGAGAATATCTGCCGCGATTAATAATCGTCGCCGAGGCGAATCGCCGGAGATCTATTCTAGGTTGCAGACACGTCGCGCTGGAAGAAAGTAGCACCGGGGGGGTCAGCGTATTCTAAATCATTGAAAATCTTAGGATGATCATTCGGCCGATTTTAGGCTTCTTATGACTATGGCTTCCTTGCCGTTTCTCTCGCCTCCCTCTCCCATCCCCCAACCCCCTTCACCCTCCACCCTCCTCCCTCCACGGTATATCGCCACCGCTCGTCCCTCCCATGGCTCCCACCCCGCATTCCCCCTTTCCGCAACCCCTGTCCCCCTCAACGTACACCCGCTCCTCGCCCCCACCCGCTACGGCCGGCTCGTCGCTCCCGCCCTCGGCAACGCCGACATTTTATCTGTCGACAGAGATTTCTTCTCTTTTTTTTTCCGAAATGCGTGTAAGCAAATAGAGCCGACCTTTAGTCACTCACGGCTGAGTCAACAAACCCTTCACCGACTGAAAAACTGCGCTGATTGATTGGCTAGAGGACAACGTCGGTGGCACTGCGAATACACGTCGTGAAGTTGCGCAATCCGTCGTCGAAAGTGGAATTCAGGTCACGCGCTGTCCTATGCTATTACCAGCACGTCACGTCGTGTAAACTGTACCGTTCGATTTCTCCAAGCTGGTGGCTCGATTAAACGATCCTGACGCCTCTACCTGGCCAACCTATTATTCTTTCGTATTAGTCTCGTGCGCCGCACGCCTCTTTACCATCCGTCAAACGCCGGTGACAATTGCCAATGAATATGAGCGATTTTCTCCGCAGTTTTTCACTCGTTTCTATTGCACGATCGTTGGAATTTCATTAGACATTGATTTGGGGGGGGGGGAGGATGCGGCCTTAATTATGCTCGAATTTTCATCGCGTCGAAATTCACAGCAGCGCGATGAATTTATAAATATCCCGCTAATTTATTTGGAATACGCTTCAAGTCGGTCGGTAATACTTTAGAATATTTCATTTTATGAAGGAGGAAGGGTATTACCGTTGCTAAAAAGACATTTTATATTCTCGCCTTGGATCGTACGTTCAAAGAGGAAACTTTTCTTAAATCGCAAATGCGATAATATCGGAGATTTATCTTAATCGCACCTTTAATAATCTCCTCGTCGTACCGTCGCATCTACACCGTAGCGCGTGCACGCTTATATGCTGCACGTATGAGTGTATGCATGAAAAAGCCACGCGTGGTTTATTAAGATTAACTTTCGGTGAGAATTATATAACTTTTCCTTTGACATAAATAACGAGCAATTTCACCGAAATCTCTTGCTACACTTTACGCTAATATTCAATCGACAAAAGGCAAGAAAACGCATGTAATCGTTTGCTCTCGTAAAACTGCTCACATTACTCAAGCAAATTTAACTCGAGCTTAGCAAAATTTAATTAATTCCAGCGGTTATGGTTTCTTTTCTCCTTTCCCCGTCTCCCGCTCCATTCTCAATATCACCCTTCGACACCCCCTCGACCCCCCCTCGGCCCCCTCGACCCCCACCGCCGCCACATAACGACCGAGAAAAACGCGACATAAAAATCGCCAACGTTATTGGCGCTCGATCGTTAATGCAATACGAGTGTTGCTCGAGCCTTCGCGCATCTCGTAAAAGCGAACGAAATTTCTCCTTCGCCATGAAATGAAATCAATCGTTATCGCGAGGTGCAAGGCAAGTGCATCGCGATTGTAACTAACCAAGTGCAGCCTATACGTGCGGCATCGTGAGCCGGTAATGAAATTAGTTAGCGACCACGTTCGCCGTCGTGCCTGTTGCGCGAAAGTTTGTCATTTTATTTGCGGTCTAAGCGGTCTAAGCGGTCCTAAGCGCGAGTGGAACACGAAATCGGGAGCGATGCAGCTTACGTGCCCGGTGCTCTCCCACGTGCTTTCCGCGATTTTCACCGAACGATTATGATTGACGTAAGAAAGGGATCCCTCTACCTTTTGTCTAGCTCAAGGACAGCGATCCTCTATTCTCCTCCCTTCGTTTCGTACTTTCTCTCGAGATATAAGGACCTGGTGGTTTGTTTTTTTCTTCTTTGTTATGAGTGTGCCACGGAGGCCGGCGCCATAATATTCCAACGTTTCCCGGCATCACGCTTATTGCGCCTGCTTTAAGCAAACCTCGGCACGGACGAGGTACAAAACAGCTCGCCGCCGTATGTTTGTTACGTGAAAAATTTATTACTTTCTACTTTGATGAATTTACCGAGGGCTGCATTGTAAGGGTCGCATGGATCGAGACTCGTTACGAGGCTGCCTCTCGCATTCATTTATCTCTCATGTTCGCTTGAGCACCCGCTCATCCACACGCGCACGCACACGTGCGCGCAAACGTATATACGCCTATGTGTCATACAATTTTTTCGACCAATATTTGACATTTTCCTCATTTACCAATAAATAGGAATAAACGCGTCATTAGATGGCGCACATATTGTTAAATTGTATGACACTCCGTTCATACAATTCAGACATTTTTTAATAATACGAGGCTTAAATCTACGATTATAATGGTTATCCAAACCCGTCATTCTACGGCTGACAAAGTACATTTCTTTTCTCTTGTTTTTTCCCTACTTTTTTATCTCGGCCATTATTTCGAAATTCTTTCATGTTAAAACAGCATATTCAAGATGAATATTCCTAGGCCACGAATGTAATACTTATAATTGTTTGCCGTCACTTTCCAATCGTAATCGTAAAACCGAGTGGATAATAATAAAGCAGGGTAAAACAAAAACAACTATGCGCGAGCGCTGAGCTCGAGCATTTTATCAGCAATGTTATTTTGCCGGCTGATAATTCGCGACTAAACTCCGTTTGGCAAAAACCATATCGAAATACACTCTTTTTGCATTAATCTCTATTTAAAGCTTAACCTATACGAGACGCGACTCGGCACCGAGATACAGATATTTACTAAAAATTACGAATTTTTTCCTCTCCTTTATCTAAGGGGCGAGAGATAAAACCGGTACGAGTGCGCCGTCCCCCGGCATTAGCGATCGCCTCAACTTCAGCTCCGCGTTAATCAGTTTTGGTATGACAGCGACCAAGGAGGGGCACTGGATGACTTTACCGAGGATGCCGGATAGCGCCTTCACCTCTCGCGGATGAAAGTTCAAGTGGAGCTTAATTCGTTTAAGCGAAGAAAGGCGCAGAAAGCGCGCGCCCGTGGAGAGAATCGTCGGCGCGTAAGCCGCTTTCCTCTCCCGGAGAGCTCTTAGCATGTGCCTGGGATCTTGCCTATTTATAATTCTAATATAAACGAGAGCATATTCGACCTCGAGGCGTGTAAATGGAATGTTTTACACGCTTGTAGAGCGACGTCCGAGGATCGAGCAAAACAAATATGAGAAAACGGGCGCTGCATTTTAACGAATCGAGCGTTGAAACGTCCGCGACCTCGCCTGCGATCATTCGCCATTTCCGCTCGATCAATGCTTCCCCCTCCCCCAACCAAATAAAGTACAACTGGCGAGCTCTTTCAAACTTGACTGCTGGATCTACTTAGCTTAGTACTCAAAATAAAATATACAAAAACAAAAACAAAAACAAAAAAAAATCACGATATTCCATCATTAACAACAATTGCCCTCGCTCTTCTGATTTCAGAGTTATCGGAAAATCGCCCGACAAGTAAGTACACCGGACAGTACACCCACGGGTCTTGGTAGCCCCCAAGCGGCCATTGGCGGATTACAGACTCATCAGCAGCAGCAACAACAGCAACAGCAGCAACAGTCGCAACAACAGCAGCCTCAATCGCAACAGCAGCAACAGCAACAGCAACAGCAACAACAAGCGCCACCTTCTCAGCAACAGCAGCAGCAACAACAGCAGCAGCAGCAGCAACAACAACAGCAGCAACAGCAGCAGCAACAGCAACAACAGCCACCGCAGCCGACGCTTCACGCCGATCCAATGCAGCAGGCCAAGGATAATCTAAATTCGGCTGCGGCCCAGCAAACTGGACCATTGCGGAATGGCAACGCCGTGCCGCCCGTCGTCTCAATGGTAAGTTCCCAGCACTGTCTGTGTATCCTTCGCTATTCACTATATACGAGCACAGCAGCCGGAAAAACGCTGCACTCATGGTTGTTGCACGTGCCGTGGCTGCTACGTAGAAAATGAACTTGAAACGAGGGCACGGGGAGAAAATCCGATACCGCCCTTATCGCTCTTATCGCTTTTCGCGGTGCTCTCGAGAGGTTTATCGGCTGTGCGAGAGCTGTGCGCTTATCGGTCACACGGCTCCCCACTTTTATATCTATACGGTGCTCCAGTTTCTCGGCGAGTGTCGCGTCGAGTACTGCTCGTAAAAGGCAAAAAGAAAGGAAGGCGAAAAGAAAGGGAGGAGGCAGCGAGAGGCTGGCGCAACGTGAATGGCTTTGTCGAGTAATTTCGCCGATTCGCTTTCAAGCGCGCGGCTCGTCGCCGCCTTTGTCTCGTCGCTGCGCTCTCCTCTCTCCTCCATTATACACGATGAACTTGGCGGGGCAGTTTGAGTGAGTGAGTGAGTGAGTGAGTGAGTGAGGGGCATCTCGGGCATCGCCGGCGGGGGATCGCGTGGCTTTCGCTTTCGGCGCGAGCGCAGGAACCCGGAAAAAGGACGAAGGAAGAAGGCGCTTTCCAGCTCGGTGATAAAAGGGGGGAGGGGGGGGGGAAGGAATGCGGCAGAGGCGGAGGTTACTGGGCGAGCGAGTCTCGTTCTCGATGTGTTTACGCGCCTGCCCACGTCCACGAGGAGGAAAGTCGCGAGACCGCTCGGCTGCACATACGCACAGCTACCTAACACGTGCACCCGACAAGCCTTGCTTCTTCTTCGTCTTCTTCGTCTTCTTTGTCTACTTTGTCTACTTCGTCTTTTTCGCCTTCTTCTTCGTCTCCCTTTTATTCTCCTTCTTCGTTTTCTTGCTTTCTTGTTTCTTATTCCTCGATTCTTTATCCGATTTCCTTTCGAGCGAATCACCCGGCTACGGGACTCCCGTAAGGTGAGAAGCCAAGTCCTTCCGTCGCCCTATACGCCGCAACCGCCCCCCTCCCGCCCCCCGTAAATCCCACCGCGCTCACTCGATCTCTTTCTATCCGACGGTCGCCGCTGCCGCCGTCTCCGCGCTTCTTCCTGCCCCATCGGCGCCCACCTCCATATCCACATCCCCCTCAGCCGACGGTTCCCGTTCCTGCGGGTATTGATTCGCGTTGTCGAGCGCGCGCCGGCGAGGGCGGTCACCGCCCCCGCGCGCCGGCGTCTGCCGTTGGTTTACCCCTTCCCCGGACTTGACGCGCTCGAGCGGTTGCCGGCGTCCGGCCATTTGGAAACGAGCGGGACCGTTGGCACTTGAACGACGATGGACTCGGAGACCCTGGCATCTTCATCGTCCGCGGATGACTAATGCCGACGCGAGCATTATCCCGGTCAGGGTCGGAGTGCAACGACACGTTAATCGCGAGCGGACTTATATCGCGAACGCCTCCCCCCTCTTCCCACTAAGTCCCTCGCTCGGTCCGGCGTATTATTGGCGCGCAACGACGGGGGGCCGGAACTGTCGATTGGCCTGCGCATTTGATTATTCGGATCGGCTTGTCGCACGATCCATCATCGCGACGTGGAAAAATCGGCCCAATTCCGTCCTCCATTGGCAATCATTCGACGATCACTGGGCCATTACATTGGCTTCATTACATTAATGACGAGCTTTCGTTGCTGGGCGCTCGTTGCGTGATTCGATAATGTTGCGCGACGCCGAGCGACTGCCACTTCGATTTTCCACCATTACCATGCACGTTCCCATGCCGCAGCATTTCCGCCTTATGCGCCCGATGATAGGAAATCATGCGCGCGACGTCCGTGAAGTGGGCAATCAGTGTTGGAAAACACTTGGCTTATGGCTATCGATTTTCGTGATTCGTTGTCGGGCTTACGATCGCCTGTTTCACGATACCAATTAGCCAACCACTCCCACTCGAGATCTACCTACGTCGCAAGAATACATAGAATAATTCGTCGGTGCGCGTGATTTAATCATTTTTTTATCTAAGCCGTGGGGCTGCAATGGTATATGATGAGCTGACAATAGCAGACATTACTGCGAAACAATTTTATTATCGTGTGGAATGGCGGAAGAGGGGAATTACTCGCTGCCTACGTAGGACACGTACTGTGCCGGCGTTAAAGCATAATTATATGGATATAACATAAGATGCCTCTAAAGTATTCGTCTAATTGTCATTTTATGATTGTGGGACGGTGTGAGATGTCGGCGGTAGTAGTTCGAATGTGCCTTATAGTTGAATGCTAATCACGCTGGTGAAGTTTTAACGAATATATATATATATATATATATATATATATAGAGAGAGAGAGAGAGAGAGAGAGAGAAAGCAAAGAACTGTTGATTGTGGCCGATTGACCTGGCCAATGTACGCGGACCTTTCACATTACGATATTGATAATATTTTGCAATTCTGTGCTCAACGCCACGCGCTCCGTCGTCTATCCAAAATTATGAACAATCCATGATAGATTATTATGTTCGTTACGCCAACAATTTCTCTTTATATATAGAGCATCAACTTGAAAATATTTTTCTCGTTTCGTTAGTGAACTTAAAAATATTAAATAATGAAATTCCATGTAACGCTTTAAAGGTAATATTGAACATTTTTCGTTCATTTTGATATTACTATAACGCTTGCATAATATTAATATTCGAGCACTAGATATAAAAATTGTTTTAATACATTTTCATAACTGTGCGGATAATGATAAATGTACAATGAATTATTTCCTCAGTAATAGTCCGTGGAGATAATATATTGAAATATAATGTTGTAAATAAAAGTCGGTGAGCTCAGCTAATGCAATAAATACACTTAGAAATGTGCTCGAATATAGGATATATTGATTTTGACGATCCTAATTTACTTTAATTGTGACATAAATATAAATGCTTAGAAGGCAATTATGTATTTCGGTAAAATGCCAATCTACAAGCAATATGGGGCCGAGCAAGTCTTATTAAAATTGCAAATATTGAATTTATCTTAAATTTAACGAATAGTTATTAGATTGACAAATATGCACATACGGGCATTAATGATTGAATAGAGATTTAAATTAATATAAAATTTAACGCCAGCAGTTTTAAAGATTAATAATTTTTATTACAAAAGGATGTAATTCTTTTATTTAGAAAAGTTTATTACATGCACGGCCGTAACAAAAACCCAGAAATAAGAAAGAAAGAACGAACGAAAAAGAAAAATGCTTGAAAAAATATTGCAACAGGAGAAAAGAAAAGGAAAATTGGCGATAGGAGTTTGTGCAAAATAAAAATCGATATATTTACCGGTAAGAGCAATAAAGTAGAGAGCTTATCAAATTCAGATTATTCGCTCTCGTCCCACTTTGATATTTCACTGCTTAACATCCTGCATGTTATTAAAACGATTCACATTTCATTATTCAAATATCGTTTATAATATCTATTTCTCTGCCACCGGTAGGCTCAAGAGTCGGAGTAGCAATAACTTCACTCCTACCAACTACATCTTCCAATCCTTTGTACAGGTTCGATTGTATCTCCGATGTCACGTCATACAGTATCCATAACAATTGCCGTTTGGCTTATCGTTCCATTCCCGAGTCCCATCGACGATTGCGACAATCTCGATACACCCGTCAAACGTCCATTACCTCGTCACTTTTGTTACCCCTGGGGAGTTGGTTTGTGTGGCCGGTGATGCGGGGTAACGAGTGACGGGGATTGGGACGATGATAGGGCGGGTGAGGGGGGGGGGGGAGGGAGAGGGAGACAGAGACAGAGAGAGAATGAAAGGGACGTCATGAAAATGAAAAAACAAGAAAAACAAAGGGGAATAGAGGGGACGTCGAGTGCATTCATAGGGTTAGATCAAGTTGGCCAGTCGGACTCGATCCCATTTCCTAGCCCCAACCTCTTAAGACACATCGATTGGTATTTGGTTTAGGTCAGGGTGCCACAAGTGCGGGAGCATTTCCTTTTGTCGTTGAGGCGCGTGCGGTTAGGGCGAGAATGGCCCAAAACGAAAGAAGGATTGGGGTTGAGAGGATGCTGAAAGAGCGATCGAGTGAGGGAAAATGTGTGTGTGTCTAGCGGCGCGCCCTCGCGCGTGTGTGAGCTAGAGTGAGTGAGCCGCGATAAATGGAATGTAGGAGGAGGAGGAGAAGGGTGGGGGTTTGCTCGTCGCGATAGAGTTCGCGGAGGGGGCGGAACGATGCTATCAGCCGCAAACACCGATTCCACGGCCACTTTTCGGATGAACCCTTCTATTTGCTGGCCGTGACGCGGTTTACCCTGTCCACTTTGCCCCGGACTCGCAGCTCTCCATTCGCTATTCCGACACTCGCGCTATATGCAATTCGCGAATTAGCATTTTTAATCCAGCCGACGAAATTACTTTTGATGGCACCGTGAATTGCAAATGAAATTTCGCCGAGAATATTACGGGCCGGTAAGCGCGATGAAACCCAGCGAAACGCGAGCACGCAATTCCGTTGGTTAATCGCTAATTACGTACCTGGATGTAGCGCGATTTTCCAGCCCCGGACAAATGAATTTTCCATCTTATTCCTCGTTTTTCGACTTGCCCCTAACGATCTCGCGGATTTTTCGCCGAAAGTTTCGCATACAACATACGCTGGATTTTATCCTATCGCCTTGTGCCATTTACATGTAGATTTGTTAGGCGAGAGTTGTTCTCAACTTGGCAGCGCTTCTCATTTAATTACATAAAATTGTGTTTTAAAATTGTCGCTCGAGCAACAGTTCCGGGGCAAATGAACGAGCGCGCACTACTTCTTCAGGTGGAATAAATTCTTGGCGCTTTCATTGGTCGGTGAAGGGCGGGCGAGTGTCGCCGGGATGGGGCTAGGGAGGCGGGCGGTGGTTGTCGACTTTTTTTGTTCTCTCACCTTCTCTTTCATAAAATAGTTTCGTAAAATAGTAGCCAAGAGCAATAGGTCATAAAGACGTTCGTTGTGGTGAATTTGTCGCTGTGCGAATATCCGTACGAGGCGTTCGCTTGGAAATTCCACTTCCTATCTAAATTAAGAGCTTATCGTGCAATACGACCTAATGCCGTTATTACCTTCGTAACTCAATGATACCTGATTAAACGTCATTTCGCTCGGTCGCCTTTTAACCCACACACAAGGACGAGTCAATTCATTTAGTAGTGCATTTTCTTATAACGACATTATGATTCTCTCGTTTTCGGAAAGGAAATGTTTTATGAAAATACAACGCCTAGAGAGGAGTTTACCGATAAATTTATTTTATCCGTTAAGTGAACCGCTTACATTTTCGGTAGGCATTTTATGCATATTTAGATACGAGTAGAAATTGTTTTGCTTATTCCATTAAACAGTTTTCGCTATTGAACATAAAATGGTAAATAAAATAGAAATTGCATTTCAATCCATTGAAAATTTGCGCAAACATTTTAATATTATTTCCCATTGTATGGATTAATAATAATAAATTATTTTAATATTCGTACACGCGAGATCAAAGAAATGTCACTTTTCGAGACATTTATGCGCTAGTTGGTCACTTTCACGGCTGTAACTTTGATAGCATAGGCATTTCGTTTTGAGTATTGACAGTTGCATTTATTGCTTGCGTTAACTAAGCAAAGGAAATTTTTTGCACTCTCACGTTTGAAAAAGGTCGTTAAATTTATAGTTTAGCCGAACGGAGAGAAAGAATTGGAATTTATTGTCGATTTGGTGCGCTGCAGCAATAGGTTGTCGATCGATCAATAAAAAACAAAAACAAGAAACATAAAAAAAGACTAGAAAAACAAAATCACCATAAAGCCATAATGAAAATATCTTTAATAAGCTGCTGTGATGTGAAATTTGCACTTCACCCCATTCGTTATACGAAATATATCGATCTAAAGAATATAGTGCATCGTTTAAACATATTACGAACAAATTCTACCTGAAATTTTTTCACTGTTAATACGAGAATAATTTAAACAGAAAAAATGTTCCGTAATCGAACGAGAGTCTTTTATAATAACTAGATAAAATAAAAAAAACAATGAATAAAGGTCAGAATTTAAGGCTAAAAATGTTTAAATAGTCAAAAGATTAGGTACTGTATCGAATGATTTCTAGAGTTCGCCTTATTCTTCAAACTTTGTGCAGCTTTGCTGTGATGAAAAATGCATGTATGAAAAATGCATTCTCCTGCACCAGAATGAAAATTCAAAAATATAATACCAAATAGTATAAAGCTATAGGTATTGTACTAGAAAAGAGAAACCGAAAGGATAAATACATAATAAAATTAAAGAGGGCAAAAAGCGATAGATAGATAGATGGATAGAGAAAGAGAGAGAGAGAGAGAGAGAGAGAGTGAGTGAGTGAGACAGAGATGGCAAAATTAAGTGTTTGAATTTGCTGTGAGATTAGATGAGAAGCACAGAATAGTTAGAGAGCGTAGCCTGCGGCATTCTTTCTCCCCGCGTAAAACATTTACAATAGGAACTTTCTTGTTTGGCGAATGTTCATAAATTTTCAGGGAGCTTTTCACAATTCTGTCGTTGTCGAGAGGCTGCAAAGAATTAAAATGAGCGAGAGAAAGAGAGAGAGAGAAAGAGAGAGAGAGAGAACAGAGCGAGCCCAGGGAAGAACCACAGGGGAGATATAAATTTAATTTTATGGCGGCGCATCAACGTCAACGACGTCTTACGTCCCCCATAGAAAGTATTGAGCTAGCGCCATCGGCAATACGGTCTCTTTCGCCTCTTATTTACTGCCCACCCTTCCCCCATCCAAATTCTTATCAATCACCTTCTTAAAAACAAACCCTGGGCGCGTGCAACGATCCACGCTGATCCAATCTAGTGATGGCCAAACTAATGCATTCTCGTTCTCCGTTTCAGTCACCGGGCGTGATGCCGTTCTACGGCGATGGCGGAGCCGGTTTCCGTCCTGCGACCGGCTTTGGCAACACCGTCTGGCACCAGGGCGTCTCACCCGTAGGCGCAGTCGCCGTCGACACCGCGCCAACCGCCTGGCCGCCCCAGCAGTTCATCCAACAGATTCCCGGCCCCAACCAAATAGAGGAACTGAGATACCATCCGCAGTACGCAACCGCCACGCCGTACCATCCACAAACAGGTAAGTGTTAAGCTTACGACAAGGGAACGCTGGGGTTGGGGTGGGGGTGGGGGATTGTAACACTGGGGAACGCATATTTAACAGCTGGGACAATAGTTCGTTATAAGAAGGGTGAAGGATCGCTCCTCAAAGTCTCTTCTGCTTCTCTCATTCCAGTCACGTATCAGCAGCAGACCTTCATTACGACGGATCAATCCGCGTTCCAGCGCGCTGGAACAACGGGACAATACGCAATCACTGGGCAGCCCTCGCCTTTGACTCCGGTCGCACCGCAAACTGCAGCCGCGACACCCCAGAGGCCTTTGAACGGCCAATTCATAGATCCTGCCGTGACTGCGGGCCAGCCGGTGGCTTACGAGAGGCAGGAATACGTAAATGGCTATCAGCAGCAGGTTAGCTGCCGAACAATCAATCTCTCTGACTTCTAAGTTAATATTATTCATTCGTATTTTGTCGTAGAAAAGTTTGTTTTTATGTGTTTGGTAACTGCTAGAGAAGGAGCAAGTGTCGATAGACTAGAATTTTAATTAATTATAAGAGTCTTGTTGTCTTTCGGACTATGTACAAGTAATACTATGCAATGGTAGTTTTGACTTTCGTTCTATTCTTTATTTTAGACATTATTATTTACCGCAACTGTTCAGTTACTTATTTGTTTTATTTGGCCGTTTATTTTCGACTCGCTATCACGTAAATTATCAATTATAGATCGTTGAAAGTATCGTCTTATGTGGTGCTAAGCCAAGGCGCATTATTTGCAGATTATTACTTCCAAACGATTGCTCGATAAAATTCGAATGCTTACTATAAATTACATGACATTCTTTCCAAGGGGTGTATTGTATAGTCAAATATCGATTTTTTACTTTGTCTTCTTCGTCTTTGTATCGTACGAATTTAATGACGCTCTAAGTCATCGGTCGCAACGGAATGGGCGAGACTCCCGCTGTCTCTTTCAATTACCTGCAACTCTAAATTTCCATATAATTCGATATTTGAATATACCGCAACCCTGAAATCTGTAGTATTTAAGATAAGCAAAATTCTTACTTTTTTTTCATTCTTATTATTAATTAATATTTTTCATCTCTTCTCTTTCTCTCTACAACACTCACTCATTCGCTCGCTCGCTCGCTCGCTAACACACACACTCTCTCTCTCTCTCTCTCTCTCTCTCTCTCTCTCTCTCTATCTATCTATCTATCTATCTATCTATCTATCTATCTATCGATTTATCTATCCATCCATCTATCTCTTACTCTTCTTCTGCATGCAATCTATATTCATCAACCATAATTACGCAGAAAATTAATTTTCTATTTATTTTAGTTTGATATTTATTCTTATAGGATATAACGATGGCCCCGCCAGCTGCCACAACGCCCAATAGTCGCAGTAGCTCAGTCCACATGGAGGCCCAGCAACAACCTCAACAAGTGCAAAATCAAGCGGCTCAAGTTGCACAACCGGGGGACACGCAGGTCAAGGGCTTTGCGACTATTGCCGCGAACAGTGTGTCGGGAAACGAGATGCCTGGGTATCCACTTCAACCGGGCCCGCAGAGTTTACACAGCTCTAACGGATACCCAGGCTACGTAGAAATGGGCCAGCAGCAGCAGCAGCAGCAGCAGCAGCAGCAACAACAACAACAATCGCATAATCAGTGGCAGCAGGTTTCCGATGCTAATCAGCAGCACATTTGGTCCGAGACGAATACCAGTGCCAAAATACGGACGATCAATAACGTATTAACTTGGTCTGATGCGAGCATGCAGCAGCAGCAGCAACAGCAGCAACAGCAGCAACAGCAACAGCAACAGCAACAGCAACAACAACAAAACAATTTGAAACAATCCAACGAGCAACAGCAAAACTTAACGATACAAGCGCCTCAAGAAATTTCGAGGCCGGCCAGCCACATGAGCTGGGAGAACGGCAGCGTAAAAGATCAAGCGCCTCATACTCCACAGTCTTGGCCGGAGAATATGGATAGTCAATCAACGCCTCAACAGCAAGGCAGTTGGCCTCAACATAGTCCCAGTTTGAGGGATAATCCAAATTCACGATTAACGCCTTCCGCACAACAACAACAACAACAACAGCAACAGCAGCAGCAGCAGCAGCAGCAAGGCTGGCCACAACACTCTCCAAAGATCCCCGATCATCAAAACACATCGCAAAAGAGTGCGAGGATGACACCCGGTCCTGTACAGCACAACTGGCCCCAAACTAGTCCTGAGATTCAAGCGCAGCAGAACGCTAATCAACAAAGTTCCCGATTGACGCCTTCCAATCAGCAATGGCAGCAGCAGACGAAACTCGAGCAGAACCCCAGACTGACTCCTTCTAATCAAATGTCTTGGCCGGATACGCCAACTAGTCAACCAAATTGGTCGCCCAATAGTATGAAAAGCGATGGTAGTCAACAGCCGCAGCAGCAATGGCCGGATTCACAGCCGAGTCCGAGAAGGACGCCGAGCCATCAGTCGGCAGCTTGGCAAAATCAAAATGCTCAGGATAAAATAGAGAGCCAAATGAATTGGTCGCCAAAATCGGAGAATCAGGCCAACTGGGGACAGCAGAATACGAAGCAGGATATGCAGAATTCTGGAGAGAGACTCGTGTGGCAGCAGCAAAACGCAGCGGAAAGCAATAAACCAAATGGTTATGTGGATGGCCAAGATTCGCAGGATAGCTTATACGCTCAGTCGAATCGCGTCAACTTGAATAGCCGATTAAAGTCTATGATTTTGAATAAGCAGCAGCAACAGCAACAGCAACAGCAACAGCAACAGCAACAGCAACAGCAACAGCAACAGCAACAGCAACAGCAACAGCAACAGCAACAGCAACAGCAACAGCAACAGCAACAGCAACAGCAACAGCAACAGCAACAGCAACAGCAACAGCAACAGCAACAGCAACAGCAACAGCAACAGCAACAGCAACAGCAACAGCAACAGCAACAGCAACAGCAACAGCAACAGCAACAGCAACAGCAACAGCAACAGCAACAGCAACAGCAACAGCAACAGCAACAGCAACAGCAACAGCAACAGCAACAGCAACAGCAACAGCAACAGCAACAGCAACAGCAACAGCAACAGCAACAGCAACAGCAACAGCAACAGCAACAGCAACAGCAACAGCAACAGCAACAGCAACAGCAACAGCAACAGCAACAGCAACAGCAACAGCAACAGCAACAGCAACAGCAACAGCAACAGCAACAGCAACAGCAACAGCAACAGCAACAGCAACAGCAACAGCAACAGCAACAGCAACAGCAACAGCAACAGCAACAGCAACAGCAACAGCAACAGCAACAGCAACATCAGCAGCAGCAGCAACAACATCAGCAACAACAGCAGATGCAGAATCAACTTAGTCAGCAGGAGCATCGACAAGTTCATCATCAAATGCCTTCCCAACATTCGAACAACAGCGACGGACCCAACGGGGATATGTCGGCTGACAATAGATTGCGCGAGTCGCACGAGAGTTCGGACAAGTTGCAGGAGAAAAGAAACGAACAATACATGAATCAGTCGGGGCTCATGTCAATGAGCCAAAATAACGAATCAATGACCGGTAATTTTTTATTGCATAGCCACCACCCTCGGGCCAATAGTTTGCCCGACGGTGGTGGCTTATGGGAATGGTCAGAAGGAGAAACGACTACTAGATTAAATGCCAATGCCTTATCAAATCACGGAATATCGAGCATTAATAGTTTAATGAATTATAACACTGCGCATAAGATGGATAAGGGGCTGAGTGTCGGTGGTAGGGATGTAGGGTCAGAAAGGGGCAAAGATAAGTGGAATGCCAGCAGAGGTCAGGGGAGTCGATCTATCGACGACAAGAGCTTTCGAGAAGCGTTGTGCGTCGACATTAATATTAACAAGAAGAGCCGTGACCGAATGGGCGAGCTGATTTTCGCGCAATCGTCCATGATGCCGGGGCACGAGCGAGGCGAGTCGAAAGCACCGGAAAGTACGCTTGCGGACGTGCAATATGATTCGAGGCAAAAAATTAAGCAAGAATACAATTGCCCAGTGTCGGTGGGAGAAGCGCTGGACGAGGAGCGCCTCACGCAAGTCATAAAGCTGGAGCCTGACAATGGGAGGGAGAGGGACGAGTCGAGTTACAAATTCCGAGGTGACGGGGGTCCGGCGAAAATGTCGCCGAGCGTGGGCTCCTGGTGTTGCCGAAGAGGCGGTACGGAGCAACCAACGCCCGAACACTTGCGCGAGGGATGCTGTCAAGGTCTTCAGACGAGGGACGAATTCTCAGAGGATTCGTCGGAAAAGTCGGATGTTAAAAACGAGGATCCGAACAGTCCACGCGGCGCGAGCGCTACGGCGACAACCACCAGCACGACAAAGTTGCAAGAGCATTTGGAAAATTTGAAGAATAATGTCAGGACGGAAGTACCGGACTGCGATTGCTTTCCCGCTGACAAATGTGAGTTGCCACCGTTGTATGTCACTCGATACACTAACATTGAACGATCACACTAACAATCAAAACGCATTAATTAGAGAAAAAAAAACGAAACAAAAAACGAAACAAAAAAAAAAACAAAATATATTGCGCCAAGATGTGCACTACCGCTTAAAAATGTTTTGCTCAAACTAAAGTGTCATAATAAATAAAGTACAATAAAACTATAAGGTCCGACGGAGCCTGGCTCGTACTACACTCATCTTGGTGCAGCAGCTAGTCTACGTGATCTTCGAAACGATCTAGAGAGAAGAACAGGTCTCAAAGGAAATGCCTTAAGATTCGAGAAGGTGATCTATACGGGAAAGGAGGGAAAGACGACACAAGGTTGTCCTATGGCTAAGTGGGTGAGTATCATTTGGTGAAATGTTCGCACAATTACGACGACGACGACGACGACGACGACGACGACGACGACCACCACAACGACGACGACGACAATAATATAAAATAATACAATTATGACGATGACGATGAGGATGATGATAAACCTGCCAACAGGTGATTCGACGCTCTAGCATCGATGAGAAGATTCTAGCGGTGGTTAAATATCGCCAAGGGCACAAATGTCCGACGGCTTGGATTATTATAGCAATGGTGGCTTGGGAAGGGGTACCGAATCACGAAGCCGACAGGATTTATTCCTTGCTGAGTCATAAGCTTAGCCGATTTGGTCTACCAACCACGCGAAGATGCGGGACGAACGAGCCGAGAACCTGCGCTTGCCAAGGTCTTGATCCTGACACGTGTGGAGCTAGTTATTCCTTTGGATGCTCTTGGTCTATGTATTATAATGGTTGTAAATACGCAAGAAGTAAGACTGTGCGGAAATTCCGATTGTCCGTGCGATCAGAGGTAAGTCAGAAGATGCGGAAAATTCGTAGCAATAGCCGTGCGAGCAAAAACCCCTGACCATTACGTTTTCAAAATTAAAGGAGCAAGAGATTGAAGAAAGGATGCACGTATTGGCGACCCTATTATCACCGCTGTATTTGAGTCTGGCGCCGGAAGCCTTCAACAATCAGACGCAGTTCGAACGGGAGGCCAGCGAGTGTCGATTGGGCTTCAAACCGGGAAGGCCATTTTCCGGCGTCACGGCGTGTCTCGACTTTTGCGCCCATTCGCACAGAGATCTTCATAATATGAATAACGGCTGTACAGCGGTAAGATAAAAACAACACAAAAAAAAAACAAAAAATAACACAAAAAACAAAAACAAAAAAATAACAACAAAAATAAAAACAGAAAGAGTAAGAAATATCTGTCTGTTATTATTCATTTGGAGAATGTCGCTGTTGCAGGTTGTAAGCCTAACGAAGCACAGGACATTATCGAAGCCGGACGACGAGCAGCTGCATGTGCTGCCATTATACATAATGGACGACTCGGATGAGTTTGGCTCGAAAGATGGACAGGAGGCGAAAACAAAGTCCGGCGCGATCGAGGTCTTCACCAAGTAAGTATCCCTAAGCGTCGGCCACGTACCTTTCGCCTCTTGCAACGCTAACGCACGCCCTTCAACCTGCCCGTAGATATCCTTGTGAAGTGCGCGTCCGATCGGTACCATTGCAGCCCTGCAGGCGCCACGGGAAGAAAAGGAAGGAAGACGAGCCCGAGGCGGCCAGTAATAAAAAAGACACCAAGAGCCCAGCGGAGAAGCAGCCCGTTGACGCGAGCAGAGCATCGACTTACCAGGACACCGCGAGGGCCCCATTAAGAGATGCGCAACTACCCCCCGAAATGGCATCGATGCTCGACGGTATGGACGCTCAGCTACAAAGCTCCCAAGTTTCGTCCACCGTCCTCGACAGCCCCGTGTCGATGTACCAAGGCTGGAATTACCAAAACGAGCAACAGTGGAGCCGACAAGGCTGGCTCGATCAGAGAAAAAACACCTGGATCAATCCGTGGAACGAGTACGGGCCCTTCGTACCTCTAGATCGCGACGTGAAGGTCGACCCGGACAGCACGAGCCTCGACGAAACGAGGCCGCGCAGCACCATATCCCAAGACGAGTACAAAATCGCGGCACCGAAGAGCCTGCAAAACCAGAGCGGCGAGTCACCGAGGGCCAGCCATTACAGCCACTCGCCCAGAAGTACCAACAGTAGTATCGTGTCACCACTCCGGGGCTCCATGCCGAACACACCGGCCGAGCTCGTCTACTCCACGCCGCCACGAGTCTGCCCCTCGACGCCACAAGACCAGGGCACCGTGTCCCCGCGGAGCTCCGGCTACTCCTCAGCACCGAGCGACTTTAATCTTTCGACGCCCTCGCCCCGCAATTACCAGACGACATCGGACAGCGGCTCGACGAGCGTATCGCCCCGGACCCTCTATCAAAATTCCTCATTCAATATGGAGAGCCCGCAGAGGGCTACGCCATCGAGAGGTGCCCAGCACACGTCCACGCCAATCGGCTCCGACGGCTTCCGTAGAAATCAGTCCCCCGGCACCTGCCACCTTCACCCCACTACCGCGCTACATTCGTCCGACGGCTTTGGCCCCGGGCACGTCCCGCCACGCTATCTCAACGAGCCCAGCCAGAGGATTCACCAACACAATCACCTCGAGACGCAAGAGGCTAAAGCCGCGACGGCCTCGAAGCTCCTGTTGCCCTATCCGTCGCATCACCAAGCCTCCCCCCAGACACCAAGAGTGCCCGATTACGCGGCTGGTAATCCGAGCTGCAACGCCATGCCCGGCCCGCTAAGCACCGACTACCTCCTGAACAATCCTCTCCACGTCCAGTCACTGGCCAATCAGAACTACGAGGCGGAGCGCGAGAGTATGGCGAGCCACGCCACCGAGCCCAAAAGGAACCTCAATAATATGCCGCGCGGATCGGTCCACGTGAATTATTCGCCAGCCTCGAGCGAACAGTCAAACTGGTGCTCTCTGAGCTCGTGGGGGGGCGGCGAGGCCGTGAAAAAGCCCGGGCGATCACCGCAGCACAATGCTCAGACAGGCATCGGGGCCAAATTCGAGTTTACGAGCGAATCTAAGCCAGGCTCGTCCTGGGACGAGCGGCTCTCGCACACGGACGGTACGACTAAGTCGCCCTGGGAGGCGACCTCCGAAGCACCATCGCCGTTCAGAGTGCCAAAGGGCCGACCGCCCTCGAGGACTACGCCAAATCAAAATATGCCGCCTACCGATCCCGCCACCGTCTACAGTTCGATATCGCGAACATTCCTGAAGCCTCAGGAGCCTAACCGGAATAACCTTTTCATGGAAAGTCAGAGTGGCAAGGGTTGCGCGATCGGCCAGCATAATCCCGGAAAATCCGCATGGTCGACGGATGACAAATTATTAAGAGAAGGTACGCGGCTTTCCTTATTCTCATTATTATTCCCATTATTATCATTACCATCATCATCATCATCATCATCATCATCATCATCATTGTTATTTTTGACGTTGTTGACATTGTTGTCGTTCTTATTCTCATTTTTATTATTATTATTAGTATAAATATGACAATATGGATATTGGGTTTAAGTCGCCCATACAATTAAGGAGAGCTTACGACGTTCCAACGAATCTTTGTTTATTCCAAGGTTACCAAGAGGCCGCGAGACAAGAGCCGCCCAGCCAAAATCCGGGCCTAAGCTGGACCGAGGCCGAGATGAAGCAGGTGCAGGATTTCCACGCGATGACCGGCTTGCCTCACCCCAGCTTCCCGCAGTACGGCTACCCGTCCTACCCCACCACCGTATTCGACAAAACGTACGCGAACACATGGGATGGCTACGGCTACAATCCCCATCACGCCTATCATCCCCAAGCGACCGATTACCCGACGCCGCAATTCTACCAGCAGCCCAAGAGAAAGGCCTGCTTCCCGGCCACCCAGTACCCCTTCCAGAACGTCGCTCCGGCTTACCAAGGTCTGAACGGGGGCTGGGCACGCTGGGAGTCGGCCGGCTGTACCCGATGGGACCTTTACGCGCCACCTTCGTACTTCCCGGTACTGGCGGAGCCACCACCGCCGCCGCAGCCGCAGCTGCAGCTACCGCCGCCGCCGCAGTCGCAGTTGCAGTCGCAGTCGCAGCCGCCACTGCCAGCGCCGCCGCTGGCACCGCCGTCGCTACCCCCGCCGAAAGCCGAGCCCCTCGGCGAGGTCGCTGACTACACGGACAACGAGGAGTGCTTCAAGGACTCGCAGATGGGCGGTGTGGCGATCGCCCTCAGCCACGGCAGCGTCCTCTTCGAGTGCGCCAAGCACGAGATGCACGCGACGACGGCGCTGAAGAGGCCGAACCGTGTGACGCCCGCGAGGATCAGCCTCGTCTTCTATCAGCACCGCAACCTCAACAGGCCCAAGCACGGCTGGAACGAGTGGGAGGAGAAGATGCGCCTGAGGAAACTCGGCGTGGCAGCATCGAGCGCCGGGAGCACCGCCACCTCCCAAACGGCCTCGAGCACGCCCTCGAGCCCCGCGACCTCGGCATCCGCCGTCGACGCCCCCCTCGTCGTCCCCCACGTACCGAATGTGCCGAGCTCCCAATTCATGATGAGGTCGCCCACGTACACGACTATGACTTGGACGACCCTCTTCCCCATGCATCCCTGCATGATAACCGGTCCATATCAGGAAGGCGGGGCAATCGGATGATTATCAGCCTTATCGAGCTAGCCAAGAGCCCCTGCCAAGCCGATGATTATCATCGGCCTCTAATCGCGACGTCGACGATACGTCGTTGATTGTACGGGCGGAGCTGGTGCGCCGACGAACAGTCTAGCGACGAAACGCAATTATTATCGAACTTAACATTTAGGCTAATTACTTTGTACGTTTTCAACTTGAATATTTTTTCATGGATGGTTGCGTTTATGGAGTCTGTGAGCCGGAGGGCGAAAGTAGCGTGAAAACATTTCGAGGCGAGTCGTAGATGAGGCATCATTGATTTATCCTCCAATACGATTTTTCCGCATTGTATCCCGAGCGTACGCATATGCATTGCGTAAGTGCGAATGAAAATTATGATTGCCGACGGGGGGTGTGGCGTGGAAGGGGAAGAGGCTAAGTCAGGAAGCGCGGCGGCGCCGGAGAGTCGGAGGAGCGCGTTCGCAATTTTATCGATGGGGCATTCGATCGGGCGCTCATTGTGAAAAATGAATTTGTATTATTTGAATATTTGTACATATTAGGTGACATTTACTTCCAGATTAATATCGACCTCTCTTTTTTTCTATTTTTTTACGCGATAATATATCCTTTCGACTCGCTTATACATTTCATTAGCGACTGCAAATGTGAAAGTAAACATGGTCGAAAAAGAAAAAAAAAATTATCATATAGCGGAGAGTCCACTTATAATTTATTTATTATCACTTTATTATATCCTCTGATTATTCCCTTTCGTCCCCTCCCCCAATCCACCCATCCATCCACCACCACCACCCAAACCAAATTCAAATCCTTGTTCCCAATCCCATCCCCGACGTCCTTTCGCATCCCGAGCATGTACCTCTACACCGCTACTCTCTCTTCCCTCCTTGTGAAACCCTTGATCTTAGAAGAATTCGAAAATATGGTTTTAGACGACTTTAGAACGATCGACATGTTTTCGGTACTGTTTATTATTAGAGATATAGCGTCAATAAATTGTATGGAAACTTTTATATTTGTATGTTTGACTGCGTGTGGGATCGAGGAGGAAATTCGTCAAGAGTTCGAATTAAACGGCCGGTATTGTAGAGAATAGAAATAATAATAATAATAATAATAATAATAATAATAATAATAATAATAATAATAATAATAATAATAATAATAATTATAATGATGGTTTAACGGAATTGCCAGCCTCGTCCCCGATCCAGAGTATTATAAGAATCATTAATATATTATCATTCATGATTATCACATACAATAATTAGTAATATAATCTAATTTAACTGATTATTTATTAATTAAGTTTTGGAAAAGAGTGTTATGTACTACTATTATAACGATTGAAGGGGCGATTTAAGATTGAGTTTGCAAGTGCAAGTGTCGTGAGGACGAGCGACGAGGTGACAGACTTGCCAGGAGTCACCTTAAATTACGCGGGTCGCGGACTCAATATTTTCAATACGACTGTATCAAGCGACATCCCAAAGGAAGTTGTTGCATAAATTAGCGCTCATTCCGCAAGGCCGCAATGCTGTCTTCTCTTAATATCCTTAATCTATTTTGAATTTTTCCTAACTAAGTTCATTATCGCATCTTCATTTTTCCAACGGCTTATTATGCTCATTGAATTGTTCATGTATTTGTAAGGACAAACACAAATATTCCAATTAAAATATTTTTGCTGATTTTTTACATTTTATCGTTTTTTCTTTGTCTATTTTCTTTCATTTCTTTCGTTTTTTCTTTTTTTTTTCTTTTTCCAAATTATCTAAAAACGTAATCCTAATTTCGATATTTGTAAAGAAAACTTTGGATTGAAAAAACAAATCCCCTATATG